GAGTGGGGTGGGAATGGAGGTTTTGCAATATCCTTCCCCCAGGAGTGGGGCGGGAATGGGGATTTTGCAATATCCTTCCCCCAGGAGTGTGGTGGGAATGGAGATTTTGCAATACCTTTCCCCAGGAGTAGGGAGGGAATGGGGATTTTGCAGTATCCTTCCCCTGGAGTGTGGTGGGAATGGAGATTTTGCAATATCCTTCCCCCAGGAGTGGGGAGGGAATGGAGATTTTGCAGTATCCTTCCCCTGGAGTGGGGTGGGAATGGTGGTTTTGCAATATCCTTCCCCTGCCATGCTCACCAAGCCACGCCCATAACAACAAAAGGAAAAATTTTGGATGTCATCCCTGGGCCCACACCCCATTTTGGGCCTGGAAAGCATCCTGCACCAACCTACACTCCCCCGCGCATGCGCCCCGCCCCACCATGCATGAACACGGGCATCCCCCGCATGTGCCCCGCCCCCCCACGCATGCGTGACAGAGACACGAAGACCAGCTGGCTGGCGGGAAGCACGCTCACATGCGTGTCGGAGCTGGGCTGGGGAGACGGCTCTGCGTACTACCTGTTCTAAAGGGACAGGAGAAGAAAACGATGAATGGGGAAGTCATGTTATTAAAGGCATTTCGGGTGGACCGACAAGGGAATCAAATTATATTTGGGTTATGGTTCCCCACCCCCCCACCCCCAATTTTGGGGCTGTTCGGTCTCCAAATAACATCCTCCGCTTGGAGGAATTGTGAAATGCTGAGTGGAACACAGTTTGGTGAAGACGACGCGGGAGTGAGCGTGTCTTACTTTCTTATTTTAGAGTAGTTTGTTAGTGGGAGAAAAATAAGTTTATCTTTTGTCAACAGGGCAAAAACAAAATACTATTTTAAAAGAAGCACGCCGCTGGTTCTATGCATTGCTGGGTGTCGGGAGGGGATCCTTATCTCACTTCAACAGGCCAAAGTGTTATCATTTCCTTTTGCTTTAAAAAAAAAAAACACACACACACACACACACAAACAGAGAAACACAAAAAACCCAAGAAAAGTCTTTGCAGCACCAGGTTAGCAAGGAAAAAAAAAAAAAACCAACAAGGGGAAAATAGGATAAAGGAGGGAAAGTTCCTAGCATTTCGGATATGAAGCAAAATGGGACATCCAGGGATGGAGGGGTATATTAACACAGCCTGTGTGCAACCTTTCAAAGCAGTATCTGACTTATGGATTTTGTTCTGGAGGAGGGTTGCAGTGGTGAAATCCTGCCGGTTCTGTCCAGCTCGCGCGAACTGGTAGTGCCGGCAGCATCTGGCTCGGCGAATTGGTAGCGCCGGCAACATGTGGTTCGGCGAACTGGTAGTGCCGGCAGCATGTGGTTCAGCGAACTGGTAGTGCTGGCAGCATGTGGTTCAGCGAACTGGTAGTGCCGGCAACATGTGGTTCGGCGAACTGGTAGTGCCGGCAGCATGTGGTTCAGCGAACTGGTAGCGCCGGCAGCACGAGACTCCGCCCACCCACCCGGACATTGTTACTTCCTGGTTTTAACCAGGAAGTAACCTGTTTCTGACCCTCTACGCGTGCGCAGAAGGCTTTGCGCATGCACAGAGAGTTAAAAAAAATCTGATAATGGCGTGAATGCAATCGGAACGAGCAAGCGTGTGCCCGCGCCCTTCCGAACCAGTAGGGAATGTAAGTAGATTTCACCCCTGCGGGGTTGTCCCTTAGAGATAAACTATGGAGAGAGGGAGATTAGGTTCTATTTAGAGAGGCTGAGGAGCTGTGCATTAATTGTTTTAATTCATTAAATTAATTAATTGAGGGTGATGGGCCAGTTATTCTTAATCTGTTTTTCTTTTCTTTCCCCCCCCCTTTCTTTTCCGCACTGCGTTTCTTTTTTATTTCTTAAGAGATGAATTTAAGGGGGTGGAGGAAGAGGCCAGCTTTTATTCGAGATGCTGACAAGCTATGCATTAATTTAAACTTTCTACCTGCTGGAGTGATGGGGAAGTTACTCTTTCTATTTTCCCCCCTTTCTTTTCCTTTCTTTGGCGCACTGGGTTTCTTTTCGTGTTTTTTCTCTTTGTATCCCTCATCCCCAAACAGCCAACTTTCTGCTCCTTATTATCTCAAAACAGGCAGGGGAAAGAATCAAAAAGTCTTTCCCAAGCCAAATCAAATCTGCCCAGGAAGCCCCACCAACGTTTTGCTCAGATATATGTAAGAATGTCATTGCCCACCCCCCACAAAAAAAAGGCAGGTATTAAGAAAGGGGGTGGGATGAAAGGAGAGAAGGCGAGGAAGAGGAAGAGGAGGAGGAGGAGGAGGAAAAATCACAGCACCGTGGTTAGTCGTAAACATTTAACGTGGACGTTCATAGAGTCCTCACACTTCAGACGCCCCCCACCCCACCCCCAGAAATTTTCATTTAAATACTAGGATACTCTCGGAGAAACGAGGGGTGGGGGGACCTCTTCCCGTCTTGCAAGACGGTTCATCAGCTTTGGAAGGAGAAGGTGAGTTGGTGGTGCCTCTCACTCGCAAGTCTCTTTTTGCTCGTATGGATCGTAGGGAAAAAAAAAAGTTTCCTGAAGCTGTTTCGCCAGCAGGATGGAACCCAGGTTGCTTTCTCTCTCTCACACACACAGAGACACCCCTCCGTCGCTCTCTTCGTCCTGGTTCCTTCTCACTGCTCTTGAATTTGCTGTTGCATTTTCTGTAGCATCTCCTGCATTCTTCTCAGCTGCGGAGAGATAAGGGAGGGGAGGGGAAGGGAAGGGAGGAGAGGGGGGTGTCACCGTTTTGTTTAAAAATAAAATAAATAAAGGAAGACCACATTTTTGAGGATTTAGCCGGAGGACAAGTCCTTCCAATCATCTCCAGGTCTGTTGCTCTCCTTAAAGGTAAAGGTAAAGGTTCCCCTCGCCCATATGTGCTAGTCGTTCCCGACTCTAGGGGGCGGTGCTCATCTCCGTTTCAAAGCCGAAGAGCCAGCGCTATCCAAAGACGTCTCCGTGGTCATGTGGCCGGCATGACTCAACGCCAAAGGCGCACGGAACGCTGTTCCCTTCCCACCAAAGGTGGTCCCTATTTTTCTACCTGCATTTTTTCTTATGTGCTTTCGAACTGCTAGGTTGGCAGAAGCTGGGACAAGGAACGGGAGTTCACCCCGTTACGCGGCACTCGGGATTCGAACCGCTGAACTGCCGACCTTTCGGTCGACAAGCTCACAGTCTTAGCCACTGAGCCATGCGTCCCCTTAAGTTGCTCTCCTTAAGGCAGTGCAAAAATAATAATAATAATAATTCATTCGGGGAATTTGATTCACAAACAGTTGGGATCGATGCACAGTTTTCAGAACCGGATCAAAAAAAATGGAATCCTCCAATCAGATCCTTTTAAGATCCGCTTAGTCGATTCCATTCAGATGGAAGAACAGCTTTTTTTCCCGAATCAATTGTAAATCCAAATCAAACAAGGGCAAATCGGTTACAGGTGTTCTCGGAGCATTTGCTTGCAGATGTTTCGTCACCTGATTAGGTAACATCATCAGTGCTAGGGAGTGTGGGGTTTGCTCCCTGTTTATATACAGTCACAGACAGGGGCTTGCCACGGCGTTGTTGGTAGGGCTGTTGTGTTCTCCTTGGTCATTCCTTGATTAGGGCATGATTTTCTGCAGGATTGTTTGTCTGGTGTTAATCCCTGCTTATCTGGATGTTGGGTTGCTGGAAGAAGAAGTGTTCTGGTCTTTGGATTTTCTTCTTAGCGTTTAATTAATTAATGAAAGTTAATCCCTGCACGCCCCCCTCCCCCACGCCCATCTTTTTTCTTTACTTTTAAAAGCATTTTTTTCTACAACCTCTTTGGCCGAAAAAATGCTTTTAAAAGTAAAAAAAAAAAAAGCCTCTGATGATCGCGCAGCTCAGCTGGGATCGTCAGAGGCTTTTAAAAGCAATTTTTTTTCCTGCAACCTCTTAAGGTTGTAGAAAAAATGCTTTTAAAAGTAAAAAAAAAAAAAAAAAGTTGACCACGCCCACCGTCACATTAGCCCCCCTCCCAAGCCACGCCCACAGAACTGGTAGTAACAAATTTTACATTTCACCACTGCCCTGTCTTATATTGTTTTGAACCCCGAAATAAGTGCTTGGCCTTATTTTTGGGGAGGTCTTATTATTTTGGGCGCTTAAATATTTTCAGGGAGGGCTTATTTTAGGGGGGGGCTTATTTTCGCGCATGCGTTCAAAAGCCCGATTGGGCTTGTTATCAGGGGCGGTCTTATTTTCGGGGAAACAGGGTATGTCTCTGTCGATGCTAGTCACTATTGTTGATGGCTGACAGTTACTTAGTTGGGAAACATCTGCAAGCAGAGATGTTTGCATCAAGGACTCTACAGTTCAACCCTGAGCTATAGATCTTCCCTTTTATTTGAGGCAAGAGTCACGATTTATGACCATCCTGGGCAGGGCTCCATGATGGTCGCAACTCAAGAACTAGCCGTATTTAAAACTTCAACAGCATCTTCAGCAGCTTACCTCTTCGTCCTTCATCTTGATGAGCTTCTCCGTTTCGGCATCCGGGGTTGGAAGCGGCAAGATGGGAATTGGGCTTTCGATTCGGTTGTCCTGAGTCAGTTTGCTGAAAAGGAGGATTAAAAATTAACTTCTGTAAATCAGCCTCACTTCTTCTCGGAGGAGGAGGAGGAAAGGAGGAGGAGGAAAGGAGGTGGAGGATGAAAGGAGGAGGAGGAAAGGAGGAGGAGGAGGAAAGGAGGAGGAGGTGGAAGAAAGGAGGAGGAGGAAAGGAGGAGGAGGAAAGGAGGAAAGGGGGAGGAGGAGGAAAGGAGGAGGAGGAAAGGAGGAGGAGGAGGAAAGGTGGAGGAGGAGGAAAGGAGGAAGAGGAGGAAGAAAGGAGGAGGAGGAAAGGAGGAGGAGAAGAGGAATAGGAAGAAGTGGAGGAGGAGGAGGAGAAGGAGGAGGAGGAAAGGAGAAGAAGGAGAAGGAGAAAGAAAAGGAGGAGGAGGAGGAGGAGGAGGAGGAGGAGGAGGAGGAGAGGAGGAGGAGGAGGAAAGGAGAAGAAGGAGAAGGAGAAGGAGGAGGAGGAGGGAGAGGGAGAGGAGAAAGAGAAGGAGAAGGACTGTGGGGTCCTTGGTGCTCTCTGAACTTAGTTGTTTTCTTGCAGTCATTTCATGACCCAAACAATACCTAGCACTGATGACGTTACCTAGTTGGGTCATGAAACATCTCCAAGAAAACAGCCAAGCTCACAGAGTACCAAGGACCCCCCACTGTCCTCCTTCTCCTTCCCCTCCTCCTTTCTTCCTGATCTGATGGGTCAGGGAACTCACCTGGTCATCTGTTGGATGCACTGTGCCCGATAGTTCTCATAATGAACGTCACACGTCACGTCTTTCAGGTCATGCATGTGGGTTCGGATCAGCATGTTTCGTAGCTTCACGAAGTCACAGTGTGCCTGGTTCTCCACTAGGGAAGCCAGAAAGACAATCCTTTTGGAGTTGGGTGGCATGAACCACTCAACCCATCAATGAATTAAAAAGAGCCCACCCATCATTCTGTAGCGGAAAGACACAGAGGTCAATGAAGAAAGAGATCTTCTCATGTAGTGCTCCACGTTATATCTATGATAGATCATCCATCCATCCACTCATCATTATGACACACTCTGGGAGGACGGGGAAGAAACAGGGTCATAATTGGGCCGTAAATTACTTAGGGTCAGAGCTGGCTTCACTGGGGTACATGCCGACATGTCGCTCCTAATAAATAACTCGATTTCTTTTGAAGCTTGGCTCATGGTTTAATTAGGGCATCCATCGGAACCCTGATAAAATCCACATCTCTGAAAGGACAACTGGGAACATCTTCTAATCTGACTGGAATATGCCGAGATCAAACCAGGATTGGTTCTGACCCTAAACTGACCACCGCAGAAGCTCATAACTAAAACTTCCACACTGTTTTGGCCTTCAGAGCTTCACTGCTTCCAAATCCGAAAGTTTCACTTAGATTTCAAAGAAAATAGTTCAATAGATCCTGCTGTTCGTCAGGTCAACGTTGAAGTCAACAAAGACAGCTTACCTTCCACAATGCCCCAAGGGTAGAGTCTTCCTCGGACTCTCTGCCCCTTGGCTTCCACCACCGTGTTGCTACCAATGACTGCAAAGGGCGCGCTCTCCTGGTGCCAACACAAAATGTTAGGAGAAGTTAAGACGGTGTTGACAAACCTTTTCGGCACCGAGTGCTCAAACGGCTGCACACACACGCGTGCCGGAAATCGGAAGAACAGATGCCCAGTGCATAAATGTGCGCTGGGAAGATGCTCTTCTGATTTCCAGCACGCGCATGTGCACCGGCCACCTGGATTTCCAGTTTCTGGCATGTGGCGCGTTTCTGGCATTCTGGCGCGTGTGAAAACCAGCTGGCCAGTGCGCATGAGCACACAGGAAACCCGAAGATCGTCCTCCCAGCATGCGCATGAGCACCAGCCACCTGGTCTTCCAGTTTCTGGCATGCATGCACGTGTGAAGACCAGGTAGCTGGTGTGCATGCGTACGCTGGAAACCGGAAGATTGTCTTCCTAGAGTGCACATGCACACCCGCCACCTGGTCTTCCGGTTTCTGGAATGCATGCGCATGCCAGAAACCGGAAGATCGTCCTCCCATCGTGCGCATGCACACCGGGTGGCTGCTCTTCCGGTTTCCGGCGCTGCCACGTGCATGAAGACCAGCTGGCTGGGGTGCTGGAATCTGGAAGAACAACAGACAACAGCTCACGTGCCCAGAGAGATGGCTTTGTGTGCCACTTCCGGCACGCGTGCCATAGGTTCGGACAACCACATAGGTTAGGACAGGGGTCAGCAATCCGCGGCTCTGGAGCCGCATGTGGCTCTTTCATCTCTCTGCTGCGGCTCCCTGTCGCTGGTCGGCGCCACAATTTTGAGAGGAGCTTCCGGGTTGGGGGGGGGGGAAGCATGGCGTGCCAGGAGGAGACTCTATGGCAAGGGACGGGTTTTCCAGTCGGCTCCACAATTGTTAGGGCTTTTGGTTAGGACAGGTAGAGGAAAAAGGACACCGCACTAGGAAGAGACTCTATGGTGGGGGAACCGGACTTCCGGTTGGCTCCAGAATTGAAGGGGGGCTTCCGGTTAGCCCAGAATTGGAGGGCTTCCGGTTAGGACCTTTGCGGCTCTTTTGAGGGTTTGAGGTTGCCGACCCCTGGGTTAAGAGAACCACAACCGAGGTTGCCTTTCCTGGATACCCATCAGAAAAGCAGACAGGTTTACTAGGAGGACCTGGTTGAAAGTTTAACCAGGTTGATCTCACTTCTGAATAGGCAGCAAACTGAGCAAAAAGAGCCTGGTGGCGCGGCAGACTAAAGCACTGTTATTAACAGTTATTAACATCAGCTGCCTGCAATTACTGCAAGTTCGAATCTCGCCAGGCTCAAGGTTGACTCAGCCTTCCATCCTTTCTAAGGTAGGTAAATTGAGGACCCAGATTGTGGGGGCAATAAGCTGACTTTGTATAAAATATACAAAAGAATGAAGGCTATTGCTTAACACATTGTAAGCCGCCCTGAGTCTCCGGAGAAGGGCGGCATATAAATCAAATTAAAAAAAAAAAAACTCTGGGCACATTCGATGCACCAATAAACCGATGTTTATTGATATCGGTTAAAATTGGTGTTGACCAAAAGGGAAGCAATCCCATGGAATCCCAAAACTGGATTAGCTGGTTGAGTAATATAATCTATACTCGAGTCTAAGAATTATGTGGTTTTGGACTCACCTTCAGTTCTCTATCTTGTTGCTTGAAGTCCTCATCTTCATCAGAATCGCATTCGGGAAACTGGTAAACTTTAATTCCAAATTTATCAATCTCTTCCCGAATCTGAGAAAAACACGATCGTTCAAATCAAATATTATACCTGTCATGTATTGCAATGTATTCTTTGCGCAGGGGTTAGAAGGCAGTATTGCAGGTTGACTCTGCCCACTGCCAGCAGTTCGATCCTGACCGGCTTCAGCCTTCCATCCTTCCGAGGTAGGTAAAATGAGGACCCAGATTGTTGGGGGCAAGAGGCTGACTCTGTAAACCGCTTAGAGAGGGCTGGAAAGCACTATGAAGCAATATATAAGTCTAAGTACTATTGCTATTGTCCTTCCTTCCTTCCTTCCTTCCTTCCTTCCTTCCTTCCTTCCTTCCTTCCTCACTCCCTCTCTCCCTTCCTTCAGGTTGACTCAGCCTTCCGTCCTTCCGAGGTGGGTCAAATGAGAACCCAGATTGTTGGGGGGCAAGAGGCTGACTCTGTAAACCGCTTAGAGAGGGCTGGAAAGCACTATGAAGCAGTATATAAATCTAAGGGCTATTGCTATTGTCCTTCCTTCCTTCCTTCGTTCCTTCCTTCCTTCCTTCCTTCCTTCCTTCCTCCTTCCTTCCTTCCTTCCTCACTCCCTCTCTCCCTTCCTTCAGGTTGACTCAGCCTTCTGTCCTTCCGAGGTGGGTCAAATGAGAACCCAGATTGTTGGGGGGCAAGAGGCTGACTCTGTAAACCGCTTAGAGAGGGCTGTAAAAGCACTGTGAAGCGGTATAGAAATCTAAGTGCTATTGCTATTCTGACTAAGGCAAGGAAGCTGGCTGGGTGACTTTGGGCCAATCACCAAGAGGGAGTTCTAGTCCTGACTAAGGTATGAAAGCCAGCTAGGTACAATCACTAGGATATGGTGAGTTCTAGTCCCACTTTAGCCATAAAATCCGGCTGGGTGACTTTGGGCCAATCACCAGGAGATGGTGAAATCTAGTCTTGCCGTAGTCATGAAAGCTGACTGGGTGACTTTGGGCCAATCACCAGGAGACACCGAATCCCATCTTAGCCACCAAAGCCAACTGGGTGACTTTCAGCCAATTCCTCTTTTTCAGCCCAGCCCACCTCACAGGGATGTTGTTGTGGGAAAATAAGAGGAGGAAGGAGCATTAGTAAGTTTGCCACCTTGAGTTTTTTTTTTTTTTATACAAATCATAAAAAGGTGGGACATAAATAAAAGAAGTAAATAAATTTTAAAAACCCTTTCCTTTAGAAAGAAGGAATTTTCTGCCTACCCGTTCTTTTAGTTTCTTGATCTCGGAGGGAACGAGGCAGTCGGCTTTCGCAATGAGGGGGACGATATTCACTTTTTCATGGAGGGCCTTCATGAATTCCACATCAACCGGCCTTAATCTGCAATGGAAAAGGGGGTAAAAAAGACAAAAATCTCCATCCCCATGTGGTTGGCTTCTCAGAAACAAAACCAGATACATTCCCTCCCAGTTGAATTCCAAATCAGACGGGGAAAGCAACTTGGGCGTGACAAAGAGAAAGCTCATGTCAGGTTCAAGAAGTCAAGAACCAGGACAGTGGTTTAAAATTTTTTTTAAAAGTTTATTTCTTTTTTTTTTTAAAGTTTTATTGGTTTATTTTTTTAAAAAAAAAAAGTTTATTTCATACTACCTAGGAGGGGTCCTTGATGCTCTCCGAACCTGGTTGTTTTCTTGCAGACATTTAATTACCCAACTAGGTCAGGGGTCAGCAACCTGCGGCTCCAGAGCCGCATGCGGCTCTTTGGCCCCTCTGCTGTGGCTCCGTCAGGTGATCCTACCACTGGCTGGCCCCGCCCCTCACCCTCCCCCTCCCAGTCACTCCTCGCCTGGCCTGAGAGAAGGTAAGGGCGACGGCAGGGGATGGAGAAGGGGCCAGGGCAGAGACAGAGAGATGGGGAGAGAAGAGAGACATAGAGAGATACAGAGAGAGGGAGAGAGACATAAAGAGATACAGAGAGAGGGGGAGAGAGAGAGACATAGAGAGATACAGAGAGAGGGGAGAGAGAGAGACATAGAGAGATACAGAGAGAGGGGAGAGAGAGAGACATAGAGAGATACAGAGAGAGGGGGAGAGAGAGAGACATAGAGAGATACAGAGAGAGGGGGAGAGAGAGAGACATAGAGAGATACAGAGAGAGGGGAGAGAGAGAGACATAGAGAGATACAGAGAGAGAGGGAGAGAGACATAGAGAGATACAGAGAGAGGGGGAGAGAGAGAGACATAGAGAGATACAGAGAGAGGGAGAGAGAGAGACATAGAGAGATACAGAGAGAGGGGGAGAGAGAGAGACATAGAGAGATACAGAGAGAGGGGGAGAGAGAGACATAGAGAGATACAGAGAGAGGGGGAGAGAGAGAGACATAGAGAGATACAGAGAGAGGGGGAGAGAGAGAGACATAGAGAGATACAGAGAGAGAGGAGAGAGACATAGAGATACAGAGAGAGAGGGGGAGAGAGAGACATAGAGAGATACAGAGAGAGGGAGAGAGAGAGAGAGACATAAAGAGATACAGAGAGAGGGGAGAGAGAGAGAGACATAGAGAGATACAGAGAGAGGGGGAGAGAGAGAGACATAGAGAGATACAGAGAGAGGGGAGAGAGAGAGACATAGAGAGATACAGAGAGAGGGGAGAGAGACATAAAGAGATACAGAGAGAGGGGGAGAGAGAGAGACATAGAGAGATACAGAGAGAGGGGGAGAGAGAGAGACATAGAGAGATACAGAGAGAGGGGGAGAGAGAGACATAGAGAGATACAGAGAGAGGGGGAGAGAGAGAGACATAGAGAGATACAGAGAGAGGGGGAGAGAGAGAGACATAGAGAGATACAGAGAGAGAGGGAGAGAGACATAGAGAGATACAGAGAGAGGGGAGAGAGAGAGACATAGAGAGATACAGAGAGAGGGAAGAGAGAGAGACATAAAGAGATACAGAGAGAGGGGAGAGAGAGAGACATAGAGAGATACAGAGAGAGGGGGAGAGAGAGAGACATAGAGAGATACAGAGAGAGGGGGAGAGAGAGAGACATAGAGAGATACAGAGAGAGGGGAGAGAGAGAGACATAGAGAGATACAGAGAGAGGGGGAGAGAGAGAGACATAGAGAGATACAGAGAGAGAGGGAGAGAGACATAGAGATACAGAGAGAGGGGGAGAGAGAGAGACATAGAGAGATACAGAGAGAGGGAGAGAGAGAGAGACATAGAGAGATACAGAGAGAGGGGGAGAGAGAGAGACATAGAGAGATACAGAGAGAGGGGGGAGAGAGAGACATAGGGAGATACAGAGAGAGGGGGAGAGAGAGAGACATAGAGAGATACAGACAGAGGGGGAGAGAGAGAGACATAGAGAGATACAGAGAGAGGGAGAGAGAGAGAGACATAGAGAGATACAGAGAGAGGGGGGAGAGAGAGACATAGAGGAGATACAGAGAGAGGGGGAGAGAGAGACATAGGGAGATACAGAGAGAGGGAGAGAGAGAGAGACATAAAGAGATGATGCTCTCCGAACCTGGTTGTTTTCTTGCAGACATTTAATTACCCAACTAGGTCAGGGGTCAGCAACCTGCGGCTCCAGAGCCGCATGCGGCTCTTTGGCCCCTCTGCTGTGGCTCCGTCAGGTGATCCTACCACTGGCTGGCCCCACCCCTCACCCTCCCCTCCCAATCACTCCTCGCCTGGCCTGAGAAGGTAAGGGCAACGACAGGGGATGGAGAAGCGGCCAGGGCAGAGACAAAGAGATACAGAGAGAGGGGGAGAGAGAGAGAGACATAGAGAGATACAGAGAGAGGGGGAGAGAGAGAGACATAGAGAGATACAGAGAGAGGGGGAGAGAGAGACATAGAGAGATACAGAGAGAGAGGGAGAAAGAGAGAGATGTCAAAAGGATTTTGTGGTTTCTAGTGTTTTTAAACAACTGGTTCTCTGCCCTAATGACCGGCTGGGTAGGCGTGGCTAGGGGGGGGAGTCATGTGACTGGTGGAAGTGAGTGACATCGAGTTGGCCACGCCCATCCAGGTTCTGTGGCTCCCGGTGTTTTCTTTTCTGTGGGAAACAGGTCCAAATGGCTCTTTGAGTATTTTAAGGTTGCAGACCCCTGAACTAGGTAATATCATCAGTGCTAGAAGGCAGCGGGATTTGTGGCGAGGAGCAAAAAAGGGGAGGAGGAAGAAGAGGAAGAAGATTGTGGGGTCCTTGGTGCTCTCTAAACTTGGTGGTTTTCTTGCAGACGTTTCATGACCCAGCTAGGTAACGTCATCAGGGGGAGAAGGGAGTAGGAGTTGTAGAGAGGAAGAGGAGGAGGAGAAAGACTGTGGGGCCCTTCATAATCTCTGAGGTTGCAGACATTTCGTTATCCAAATGAGGTAACATCCACAGTGCTAGAAAGGAAGGGGATGGGGGGGGGGGGGAGGAAGAGGAGAGGGAGGAGGAGGCCTGTGGGGTCCTTGGTGCTCTCTGTCTTTAGTTGTGTAGGAAGTTAGCACCCACCCCTCTCCTAGAAGAATGAAATATTTTGGGAAATATTAAAAAGGCAGAATATTATGTTTCCCTGGATGAGAAATGGAGAAGCATGTTTTAAAGACGAAGCAGCTCCCATCTTTCGTCCCCCACCCTTTGTCAGTGGGCCAGAGGCAGAAACTCAATCTTTGTCAAAGGATCATCATCTGCAACACAATAGAACCCATCTAGGACAGAAACTCACCACATGGCACCTGGGAAGATTACATCAGCCAGCAAGGCTAGCTAAGACCCCCACCCCCTGCGAGTCTGACAACCAATCAGGATACTCTTTCTGGGACCCAGGAAGTTCAAAGCCAGAGAGGGCATAAAACCCCCGGGGACTCGCTGTATCTCAGCCCCTTTTTCTGTTCAGGAACTCAAACCATGTGATCCTGTCCACCATTAAACCATCTTTCCAGTTACCTAGTTGGGTTATGAAACATCTGAAACACGCCAACAGAGTAATTCTGGGAATTGAAGTCCATAAGTCTTAAAGTTGCCAAGGTTGAAGAACCCTTCGTAACAGCTGTAAAGGCTGCATCAACACTCACTTCCAAGCAAAATGGCCGTGACTGTTGGATCCTGGCCTTACCCAGTGGTGAAATCCAATTTTTTTTACTACCGGTTTTGTGGGCGTGGCTTGGTGGGCTTGGTGGGCATGGCAGGGGAAGGATACTGCAAAATCCCCATTCCCTCCCCACTCCTAGGAAAGGATACTGCAAAATCTCCATTCCCTCCCCACTCCAGGGGAAGGATACTGCAAAATCTCCATTCCCTCCTCTCTCCAGGGGAAGGATACTGCAAAATGCCCATTCCCACCCCACTCTGGGGGCAGCCAGAGGTGGCATTTTCCGGTTCTCCAAACGGCTCAAAATTTCCGCTATCAGTTCTCCAGAACCTGTCAGAACCTGCTAGATTTCACCCCTGGCCTTACCCATGTCCAAACGGTGAGATAAAATAGAGGCAACAGTGAACCCGATTGTCTTGGATATTCTTCCGGTTGAGGCCACTCTCATCTCGGAAGTATTGTTCAAACTGCTGATCGATGTAGTCGGTGATCGGCTTCCAACTGGACAGTAAGTAACAAACAAGGAAAACGAAAGCAATTATAATTCCCACCATCCGTGGCCAGAAAGAAAGAAAGAAAGAAAGAAAGAAAGAAAGAAAGAAAGAAAGAAAGAAAGAAAGAAAGAAAGAAAGAAAGAAAGAAGAGAGAGAGAGAGAGAGAGAGAGAGAGAGAGAGATGGAAAAAGAAAGAAAGAAAGAAAGAAGAAAGAAAGAAAAGAAAAAAAGAAAGAGAAAGAAAGAAAGAGAGAGAAAGAAAGAAAGAAAGAAGAAAGAAAGAAGAAAGAAAGAAAAAAGAAAAAGAAAGAAAGAAAGAAAGAAAAAAGAAAGAAAGAGAAAGAAAGAAAGAAAGAAGAAAGAAAAAAGGAGAAAGAAAGAAAGAAAAAAAGAAAGAGAAAGAAAGAAAGAGAGAGAGAGAAAGAAAGAAGAAAGAAAGAAGAAAGAAAAAAAGAAAGAGAAAGAAAGAAAGAAAGAAAGAAAGAAAGAAAGAAAGAAAGAAAGAAAGAAAGAAAGAAAGAAAGAAAGAAAGAAAGAAAGAAAGAATAAATACGGGTAGTCCTTGACTTATGACCACAACCGAGCCTAAAATTTCTGTTGCTGAGCGAGAAAGTTGTTCGGTGAGTTTTGCCCTATTTTACGACCTTTCTTCGCCACCGTGGTTAAGCGAATCACTGCCACGGTTGTTAAGGGAATACGGCTTCCCCATCGACTTTGCTAGTCAGAAGATCACAAAAGGGGGATCGCGTGACACACGGCCACCGCCATAAATATGAGTCAGTGGTCAAGTGTCTGAATTCTGATCACGTGACCTTGGGGGATGCGGCAAGGGTCGTAAGTGTGAAAAACGGTCGTAAGTGACTGTTTTCAGTGCCGTTGCCATTTCGAATGGTCGCTAAATGAACTCCTGTAAGTTCAAGGGGGGGAGGGGGGCTATCTGTTTGACATTTTGACCGGATGGACAGGAGACACTGGACCAATGAAATGGAAGACCTGGTGGTTGCAATTCCCAGAGGATGTTAATTTTGGTTAGTTTTAATCTTGGTTAATGTAAATGCATATGTGTCTTTGCTGGACATGCGGAGAGGAGCTCAGAGAATGCATGAATTGAACTGAGAATAGGATAAGAATAGAATAGAATAGAATAGAATAGAATAGAATAGAATAGAATAGAATAGAATAGAATAGAGAGAAGGAGAAGGAGGGAAAGAAGAGGTAGTAGAAGAATGAAAGAAGTAGAAGCAAAAGGAATAGAATAGAATAGAATATTTATTTTTATTTATTTGTTTAAATTTCTATACCGCCCTTCTCCAATATAGGACTCAGGGCGGTGAACAGCCAAAATAAAACAAGACATACATACAAAACATACAAAATCTAAAAACTGATTAAAATAATTAAATCTTTTGGCCGTAATTAAAACAATTCCAATTTAAAATCAGTTTAAAATTTGACTCAAGCCAGCCCAGCTAGTTGAAATAAATGGGTTTTCAGGGAATAGAATAGAATAGAATAGAATAGAATAGAATAGAATAGAATAGAATAGAATAGAATAGAATAGAATAGAATAGAATAGAATAGAATAGAATATTAAGTGTACAATTATGATGATAGAATAAATCTGAAAAGAAATTGAAAGAAAGTATATACTATTAGAATACAGGAGCTGCTTGGATATCAAACAAGGAGAATATTCCATAGCAAAGAAGATAGAAAGGAGAGAGGAGGAGAGGATAGGAAGAGGAAAGGGAGGGAGGGAGACGAAGGGAAGGAAGGGAAAAGGAGAGGAAGAGTAGGGGACAGGAGTAGGAGAGAAGGGGGAAAAGAAGAGAGGAATGGAGGAAAGGAAGGGGAAGTAGGATGAGGTCGGAGAGGAGGAAGGAGAAAGTAGGAGGAGATAGAGGAAGGAAGAGAAGGGGAGGAGAAGAAGAAGGGTTGTTGCGAAATGAGGGAAGAAAGGGTAGAAGAGCAACTCCGAATGTAATTAAAATGCCTTATTTTAATGCTTTCTTTAAGGAAAACATGTATAAGTAGGATTAATTGTGTATAAGAAAATATACATTTTATATTATGTGTATAAGAAATAAAACTGAAACTTTTCCAAAAAAAAAAGGAATAGAATAAGAATAAGAATGAATAGAATAGAATCAGAATGAATAGAATAAGAATAAGAATTAGAATTAGAATTAGAATTATTAGAATAGAATAGCAATAGCAATAGCATTAGCCCTTAGACTTATATACCGCTTCGCAATGCTTTCCAGCCCTCTCTAAGTGGTTTTACAGAATCAGCCTCTTGCCCCCAACAATCTGGGTCCTCATTTTACCCATCTCGGAAGGACGGAAGGCTGAGCCTGGTGAGATTCGAACTGCCAAATTGCAGGCAGTCAGCAGGCAGGCAGAAGTAACCTGCAGTACTGCACTCTAACCACTGCGCCACCGAGGCTCAGAATGGAATGGAAGGGAAGGGAAGGGAAGGGAAGGGAAGGGAAGGGAAAGGAAGGGAAGGGAGCTTGGAGGTCTTTTAGTCCAGCCCCCTAATTAAGTGGGTTTTGTACAAATTCAGACAAAAGGACTCACCAATCTGAGTTGTTGACGGCATCTCCAAAGCCTGGCGTATCAACTATTGTCAGCTTCAGCTTGACTCCTTTCTCTTCGATGTCCACGGTATGCTTCACAATCTCTACCGTCTGATTTATTCTTTCTTAATAGATAAAAGGACCAAGGAAAAACAACAATGGAGGTTGGTTAGCTCCATGGTCTTCTCCAAGTCCCAACTCAGGAATCAACCCCAGGTTGCATCTGCTCTCCCTTTCCCTCCAAAATAGCCAATGGGCTGGGTGGCCTTGGCAGGCCTACAACAGTTGGCCATGACCATATGGTCATGCCTACCTGTTGTAGCCCGCCAGTGGCCAGCGGAGCTGGTAGCACATTCGGACAGTGAGGAGGTTGGGGAGGAACATGGGCCAGTCCTGGAGTCTGGGGAAGGCTCTGATGAGGGCTCTGCGTCCGAGTCAGAGAGGGAGCCAGGGCCGAATGCCAGTTAACAGCTGCCTTCGGAGTCGGACATCAGTGAAGCAGACAAACAGCTGGAGCCTGTTCCCAGGGTGCGCATGCACAGAGTTGCCAGATGAACGAAACAGCTAAAGAACAAGGGTCGACTCAGGAGTAAAGCCACAGGTGGACGGTGAATGGCTCCTCCCAGAGGGAATAAAAGAGAAGCGAAAGGGGAGTGGAGTTTGCAGGAGACAATTAGTTGTCTTAATTGGTTCGTGACTCTCCAAGACTCCTTGCCAAGTTTTGAAGATATCGGCCTGCCAGCTCTCCAAGCCAGATAAGGTCTGTGAGTATAAATCCATCCTTGAAAGACTTTGCTGGATGTGAATGAGAGGAATTCACAGTAACTTAATAAAAAGGGATAGTTGTCGGGATAAGGAGTCTGCTTCATGCTCTTGGGGAGCCTAGGTCAGTACACCACTGCACCCCGTGTTGTGGCTCCGTTGCCTGAGCCTGGTCTATCGACAGATGCAGACTCTGAGAGTGAGGGAGAGGAGTTGGCAAGGCCTCCCTCTCCAGGACCCTCCTCTCTGGCAATGCCTCCGGAGGACACCGAAGGCCAAACGATAGGCTCAGAGCCAAGCACGTCCCCGCAGCCACAGGTGGACAGCGATGAAGAAGATAAATGCTGGCTGGACCCGTGACAGAGGCGCAAGGAGAAGCATGCACAGCAGAAGGGAAGTCATGCCAGAGATTAGCTGAGTCACTGGACCACACCCCACAGGGTATAAATGTGGGTGTGGTGACCGGTTCAGTTTGTGACGAGCAAAAACTGGAAATACTCCATGATCTCTGTGTTACTGGACTTTGCCTGCTTTATCGGACTGTATTTGGATTAATCCTTGTATTGTTGACACTCTGCCTGTTTTATTGGAATGCTGGCAGTCTAATCTTTGTTTTGTGTGAGTAAAGTCTGAATTGGCAGCTAGCCACTGGGTTGCTGCCAGCTTTATCTTCAAAGAGTTTTGTCGTGTGGCTTATTAACTCCGGGCCGTCTGTGGGGGTGCGTGTGGGGTACGGGGACAAAACACCCCATTCCCCCTGCTCCATCTGTAGCCATCGCAGGCGTTCGACTCTGGCTGACCCTCCGTGGACACTTAACTGTGGCTCATCCACCCCCAGGCGAGCCACTTCTCCAGGGGTGAAGTTGGCATGGCCCTGTGGGCCCGACCAATTGTCCCATTCTGGGTGTTGGTTAAGTCAGTGCCATGACAATGGTAAACCATCTTCTTCTGTACTTTTACCAAGAATGGACAGAACGTTCATGGAGAAAAAAATCTGTGTGATTGATAGCAGTCAACAAGGACTTGATGGCACAGCTCAATCAATCAATCAAAATCAAGGACAATGTAAGTCTGTTCAGTGGTGGGATTCACCGGTTGTAACAACTGGTTTGATTCGCGCACCCTCCGGAGGCCAGAAATGGGCCCGTTTCCGGACTTCAGGTAGGCCCATTTTTTTGCCCTCCCCAGGCTCATAAGTCACTTTTTCCAGTGCTGTTGAAACTTTGAATGGTCACTAAGAGAACGGTTGTAAGTCGAGGACTATCTGTATAAGGGACAAACTCAGGGGTGAAATGTAAAATTTGTTACTACCGGTTCTGTGGGCGTGGCTTGGTAATGTGACTGGGTGGGCGTGGCCAACTTTTTTTTTTTTTTTTAACTTTTCAAAGCATTTTTTCTAATGCTTTGAAAAGCCTCTGCCGATCAGGCAACTCAGCTGGCATCGTCAGAGACTTTTCAAAGCATTTTTTTTACCACCTCTTCGGCCAAGAGGTTGCAGAAAAAAATGCTTTGAAAAGCCTCTGAGGATCCCAGCTGAGCCGCGCGATCATCAGAGGCTTTTTTTTTTTAACTTTTAAAAGCATTTTTTCGTCGGAAGAGGTGGTAGAAAAAATGCTTTTAAAAGGTAAAAAAAAAAAAAGCCTCTGATGATTGCGCGGCTCAGCTGGGCATTGGGGAGGGGGGCGCGCAGGGATTTTTGCTACCGGTTCTCCGAACCACCCGCCGCCATCGCTACCGGATCGGGCGATCCGGTCCGAACCGGGAGCATTTCGCCCCTGGACAAACTCATCCATTACAGCGAAGCATGCTTTCATCAATTCCGTCATGTGGTTTTGGGCCTGGAGAGATCGCAGTTGGTCAATGAATCAGCTTACTTTGTAAAAAACAGATCCTCTCGGATTACAAAGCCACCCAAACCCACACGCTTCTACCAAGAACAAACAATTAAGATCCACAAGTTATAAACATTATGGGGGAATTGTGCTCTTGGCTGATCACAAGGACTAATTAAGAACGGTACCCTCAGCGTTGAGAAGTTTTCGGTCTTTGTAGAGATCTGTCAGAAAGAGGCTGTTCACCAGGGTTGATTTGCCCAGACCAGATTCTCCTAAAAGAACAAAAATCAAACAATTCTTAAAAAAAAAAAAAAAATGCATATCTTGGAATGAGTCAGAAATGCCATCTTCAGAAATGGTACAGCAGAACTGACACTATCTTCTCTCTGTACCTGATATTCTTATTTAGGACATTCTGTCCTTGCAGAGAGACAATATTTCAGTCTAATTTTTAATCTGCATTCTCAGTGAAAGGGAGGGGAGGGGAGAGGAGAGGAGAGAAAAAGAGAAGGGAAGAGAAGAGAAGAGAAGAGAAGAGAAGAGAAGAGAAGAGAAGAGAAGAAAAAAGAGAAGGGAAGGGAAGGGAAGGGAAGGGAAGGGAAGGGAAGGGAAGGGAAGGGAAGGGAAGAGAAGAGAAGAGAAGAGAAGAGAAGAGAAGAGAAGAGAAGAGAAGGAAGAGAAGAGAAGAGAAGAGAAGAGAAGAGAAGAGAAGAGAAGGGAAGGGAAGGGAAGGGAAGAGAAGAGAAGAGAAGAGAAGAGAAGAGAAAGGGAAGGGAGGGGAAGGGACGAGATGGGGAGGGAAGGGAAGGGAAGGGAAGGGAGGGGAGGGAAAAGGAGAAGAGAAGGGAAGGGAAGGGAAGGGAAGAGAAGGGAAGGGAAGGGAAGGGAGGGAAGGGAAGGGAAGGGAAGGGAAGGGAAGGGAAGGGAGGAGAAGGAGGAGGGAGAGAGGGAAGACAAAGAGAAAGGGAGGGAGGAAGGGAGGAAGGGAGGAAGGAAGATTAAACAGCATTCCTCCTTTTGATTCATCCACCCCTGGATGTCCACAGATGGTCTACCTCTAGCCTGGATGAGGTTGAACATGCAAGCTATTCACAAGTGGAACCTTGGCTGACCATTTCTAGCTAATCTTGGATGACCTTGGAAGATCTACCAAACCCAGAATGTTTAGTCCATCCCAGAACTGTTCTACCGGGAAGCTGAAAACCCCATCTTTTGGTAGAACCACGTCCATACTTAAAAAGAGAACGTCCTGAACCTGGGTGTTCCCTCACCTGCCACCATGAGGGTGAAATCGAAGCCCTTCTTCACCGATTTCCGATGGACCTGATTGGGCAAAGTGGCAAAGCCCACATACTGCTTCTCATGGTCCTGAGAAGGGGAGATAAGCAGCCATGGGTCAGACTGGGGGAAAAAGGAGAGAATGAGAAAGGAAAAAACTTCTGGTCTGCACAATAATCATATCAACTCTTGAGGTTGGCTACTCCTGAGAGTAAAGTCCGGAGCTGTTCGCTTAGATTGAATCTTATAGGACAGGCATCTCCAACCTTGGTAACTTCAAGACTTGTGGACTTCAACTCCCAGAATTCCTCAACCAGTTTAAGACTTGTAGCAGAGCTATCCAGAGGAGCCTGGATAGCTCTGCAGACTAAGCATTGTAATTTAACACCAACTGTCTGCAATTAAAGTAAGTTCGAATCTCTCCAAGGCTCAAGGTTGACTCAGCCTTCCATCCTTTCTAAGGTACCGTATTTTCCGGCGTATAAGACGACTGGGCGTATAAGACGACCCCCAACTTTTCCTGTTAAAATATAGGGTTGGGCTATACTCGCCATATAAGACTGCCCCTCTTCCAATGCACACCAAATAAAAATTAAAAAACATCAACTGGCTCACCTACAATGTAAAAGCAGCTGTGCTAGACCCAAAATGGCCCCTGCAACAAGCAGGAACCTCACACAGCCACAAAAAGTCCAAAAAACCAACTTTCACACTTTACACACACAAAATTCCACATACAGCTTTGTGAGATTTTGTGTGTTTGTGTAGTTGGAGTGAAGCACTACAGAAACACACTAAATCTCAGAAAGCTGCACAAATATTATTTTATTTTATTTTATTTTTATTTTTATATGAAAGCTAAATTTAAAACTTCCTAAACTTTAAATGGCTAGGTCTAAAAAAGAACAATTAAAAAAACCCCAATTGACTATTTTTTTTAAAGCTCCCAAAGGGGAAAAAAACTTACCCAATAGAACAGGGGTCTCCAACCTTGGCAACTTTAAGATTTGTAGACTTCAACTCCCAGAATTCCTCAGCCAGCAAAGCAAAGCTGGCTGAGGAATTCTGGGAGTTGAAGTCCACAACTCCCTCCTTGCTTGATTGCAGGCAAGGAGTTGCTTGCTTGCTTGAATAGATTCAAGCAAGCGAAGCAAGGCAAGCGTTGCGACTAGCAGCTGAGGTAAGCAAGCTGGAGGGGGAAAACTTTTTCCCTTTTACATGGCTCTGGCCATCCCAGCTGAGTTGCAGGGAACTCAGCTGGGATGTCAGAGCTGGGATCCTCAGAGTAAAAGGGAATTTTTTTTTTCCTTTTACATGGTTTCTGGCGATCCCAGCTGAGTTGCAGGGAACTCAGCTGGGATCGTCAGAGCTGGGATCGTCAGAGCCATTTAAGGCTCGTCAGAGCCTTTCGGGCTGGTCTGCCTGGTTACAGGAGAATGACACCCGGCGTATAAGACGACCCCCGATTTTTGAGAAGATTTTCATGTGTTAAAAAGTCGTCTTATACGCCGGAAAATACGGTAGGTAAATTGAGGACCCAGTTTGTGGGGGCAATAAGCTGACTTTGTATAAATATATAAAAGTATGAAGGCTATTGCTTAAGGCATTGTAAGCCGCCCTGAGTCTCCGGAGAAGGGAGGCATATAAATCAAATTAAAAAAAAAAAAAGTCCCAGAATTCCTCAACCAGTTTAAGACTTGTAGCAGAGCTATCCAGAGGAGCCTGGATAGCTCTGCAGACTAAGCATTGTAATTTAACACCAACTGTCTGCAATTAAAGTAAGATCGAATCTCGCCAGGCTCAAGGTTGACTCAGCCTTCCATCCTTTCTAAGGTAGGTAAATTGAGGACCCAGTTTGTGGGGGCAATAAGCTGACTTTGTATAAATATACAAAAGGATGAAGGCTATTGCTTAACGCATGTTGGGGCCAAAATTATTTAATTTGATTTTATTCTATTTTTTAAATTTTGTATTGTATGTGTTTTTATTGTTTGGCTGTGCACCGCCCTGAGTCCTTCGGGAGTAGGGCGGTATAGAAATCTAATAAATAAATAAAAATAAATAAATTGTAAGCCGCCCTGAGTCTCCGGAGAAGGGCGGCATATAAATCAAATTAAAAAAAAAAAAAACTCCCAGAATTCCTCAACCAGGAATTCTGGGAGTTGAAGTCCGCAAGAACCCGCAAAAAAGGGTCTTCCGGGCCCACCGGAAGTCAGGAAAGGGGCTGTTTCTGGCCTCTGGAGGGTCTCCAGGGGGAGGGGGGAGGCCTAGAAAGCCTCTGGAGCCAGGGGAGAGCGAAAAACGGGCCTTCTGGGCGTTGGAAAATGGGCCGTTTCCGGCTTCCGGAGGGCCTCTGGGATGGTGGGGAAGGCCATTTTCGCCCTCCCCAGGCTCCAGAGGCTTTCTAGGATATAGTGATGGACACCAGAAGACCTTCAAGATCCCTTCTAAGCTCCGTTATACTGTAATTCTGCAACTGCTCTAGAGAGTTTTCATAATTTCTCAAAAACCTAGTTAAGGGTATGCTAACCTACTGGACAAGAACCAAGAACAAATTTGCCAGAATGGCTTCATTTTGTCAATTGCCCCTGTCCAGTGAAGGCTAGGAATATAAAAAAAGACTTTTTTTTTCTCTCTAGCAAAAGTGGATCTGTGTTTCTATTTGCAATTTCCTTTTTTTTTCTGCATTTGCTCAAAAGGAAACGAACATTGGGTTGATGCCCTCGTTCACACACACACACAACAGTCTTAAAATCCCCGGCTTTCAAAATCTCCGCAGCTGGGTTTTACACAACGACGACGCAAATCAAAATTGGGGGGGGGGAAAAAAAAAAAAAGAGGCTTTAGGACAATGCGCAAATCTAGGCCACGGCGCTCATTCCAGAATGCAATCTTTTGCGATTAGAAAGACTCGATTGCTTCTTCTGAAAGAAAAGAGCAAAAACGCAGTAAGATTATTTTCCAGCAGAGAGCCAGAAAAATATGAACGGGAAAGCCCGTTCGTAAAGGAGAAAGCAGAGTTTGCAAACCGTGGCAATATAATCAGCTTTTTTCGGATACATTTTGCCTTCTGAAGTCAAGGTTGGTACACAGTGGCCTCCAAAAGAAATCAACAGATTTTTCTTTTTCCTTTTTATGTCAACATGGACATCGGCTGATCTGGCGCGTCCTTGGTATGTCCGATTCCCATCATCAAAGGCCACCCTAGCTAAAAGTTATGGGTGCTGGAGTCCCATCCCAATATAACATTGTTTCTCAACCTCAGCAACTTTAAGATGTGGGGACTCCCAGCTCCCAGTTTTCCCCAAATTTCACCATCAGATCAAAATTATCGGATCATAATTTGGCTCTGCAACCCAACAAGACAGACACAGACTTCAGAGGATCATTAGAACTGCAGAAAAAACCATGGCTACCAACCTGCCTTCCATTGAGGACCTGTATACTGCAGGAGTCAAAAAGAGGGCTGTGAAAATATCTACAGACCCCTCGCATCCTGGACATAAACCGTTTCAACTCCTACCCTCAAAACGACGCTATAGAGCACTGCACACCAGAACAACTAGACACAAGGACAGTTTTTTCCCCAAACGCCATCACTCTGCTAAACAACACCACCATCAAATAATTTACTAAGACTGTATTACTATTATTCTTCTCTTCCTTACTAGTATCTATCTCTTCCCACTTATTACTATAACCGTGTTGCTTGTATCTTTATAACTTATATTGTTTTTACTGTTTCCTAGTATGATTTGATTGCTTATTAGCATCCTATGACTATCGCTAAGTGTTGTATCTTATGATTCTTGACGAATATATTTTATTTTTTCTTTATGTACACTGAGAGCGTATGCACCAAAGACAAATTCCTTGTGTGTCCAATCACACTTGGCCAAGAAAGAATTCTATTCTATTCTATTCCATTCCATTCTCCTTCCTTATTTCCCTATTCTATTCTATTCTATTCTATTCTATTCTATTCTATTCTATTCTATTCTATTTTCTAATTAGCAACTCATGGACAATCCCAACGTAGGATGCACACCATCTACCGATCTGCTCACCTCACCCACATCCGCTTCATCTTCTGTTCAGACAATATTGGGGTTAGCAGCTGGGAAGATCTCCCCAAACTATAATCTCAAACATCCTTGTATGTAATTTTTGTTCCTCCCCTTCTTTGTCAACGGTCAAATCAGAGCAGCCCACAGAAAGCCACCGATGGGTGCAAACCACAAAATAACCTTGACCCCATCACCGTCTCTTCCAATTGGCCTCGCCAGCTAGATGACCTACAAGGTCCCTTCCAACTCTGTTAATCTCAACTAATCTAAAACTCTTAATCGTCAGCAATTTTTGACCTAATAAAGGAGTATATTCATACTTCGGGGTTGAAATGAAGGGTCCTTGGTGCTCTCTGAGCCTGGTTGTTTTCTTGCAGACCTTTCATGACCCAACTAAGTTACATCATCAATGATGATCTAGCACTGATGATGTTAGCTAGTTTGGGTCATGAAACGTTTGCAAGAAAACTACCAAGTTCAGAGAACACCAAGGACCACACAGTACTTCCTCCTCTTCCCCCTCCTCCTCTCTGCAAATTTCATTCCCTTCTAGCACTGATGAGGTTCCTTAGTTAGAAATAGAATAACAGAGTTGGAAGGGACCTTGGAGGTCTTCTAGTCCAACCCCCTGCTTAGGCAGGAAACCCTACACCACTTCAGACAAATGGTTATCCAACCTCTTCTTAAAAGCTTCCAGTGTTGGAGCATCCACCACTTCTGGAGGCAAGTTGTTCCACTGGTTAATTATTCTAACTGTCAGGAAATTTCTCCTTAGTTCTAAGTTGCTTCTCTTCTTGATGAGTTTCTATCCGTTGTTTCTTGTCCTGCCTTCAGGTGCTTTGGAGAAGAGCTTGACTCCCCCTTCTTTGGGGCAGCCCCTGAGATATCGGAAGACTGCTATCATGTCTCCCCTGGTCCTTCTTTTCATTAAACTAGACATACCCAGTTCCTGCAACCGTTCTTTATATATTTTAGTCTCCAGTCCCCTCATCATCTTGGTTGCTCTTCAGTTGGATCACAAAACATCTACAAGAAAACCACCAAGCTCAGAGAGCACCAAGGACTCTTCATTTTTGTCCTGAACATTTTCTTCCCTTGCACTTGGATGAGAAGATGATGCTTCTCCTGGGTTATCCTTCTCTCTAAGGCAGCCCCTTTTCGCCCCCCCCCTCTTCCCATCCACCCATCCACCTACTCCTTCCTTTCCAGTTTGGTCCCCGCTCTGCAGTTATTCTGGTACCTTCAGCTTGGCAGACGGACTCCGTTGGGTTTGAGTGCGGGGTAGAAGCAGCTTTTCCACTAATTGCTCTTGCAGGATGATGGAGTCCATCGGAAGGAATTGTGCAGAAAGGCCCCCAGGGGCATCAAACTATAAATGGATAAGCGCTGAGGAAAACAGCCCCCATTCGGGAGTTCTTATCCAGTTTTGACTAACTGTATCTGGCAGGCACCAGTCCGCCCACCCACACGTACACACACAGACACACTCACACCCAGCCAGAGGGCTAGGATTTCCTGTCCAACTCTTACAGGCTTACTCAGAGGGAAGGGAGGAGAAAACATGTGTGTGTGTGTGTGTGTGTGTGTGTGTGTGTGTGTGTGTGTGTGTGAACACAAAGGAGAACATCCACTGGGGCTAATAGGAAGCTTCCTAGAGGGAGCATTGTCACCCGTGATCGTGGCTACGGAGCCTTAGGGGGTTATAACAAAGGCTTTGGAATAGGAATTGGGGGAGGGGGGAGGTGTCAAATCGGCTATTCCTCCCATACTTTTTGATAAATAGAGAGGTGGGGGGAGGGGAGAGGGGTGGGAGGGGAAGGGAGGAGAGACAGAGAGGCAAGCAGGCAGAAAAGGATAGATGAGAGAGGGATAGACGGATAGATAGACAGATGTCATAGATAGATAATGGATGGATGATATAAAAGATAGAATAGATAGATAGATAGATAGATAGATAGATAGATAGATAGACAGACAGACAGACGGACGGACGGACGGACGGACGGACGGACGGACGACGGACATTGATTAGGTATGGAGATAGATAGATAGATAGATAGATAGATAGATAGATAGATAGATAGGAAGATAGATATTAGGTATGGAGAGAAAGAGAGAGAGAGATCAATTAGGTTTGGAGAGAGAGTAGGTATGGAGATAGATAGATAGATAGATAGATAGATAGATAGATAGATAGATAGATAGATAGACAGACAGACAGACAGACAGACAGACAGTGATTAGGTATGGAGATATATATATGATAGATAGATAGATAGATAGATAGATAGATAGGAAGATAGATATTAGGTATGGAGAGAAAGAGAGAGAGAAGAGAAAGAGATCGATTAGGTTTGGAGAGAGAGTAGGTATGGAGATAGATAGATAGATAGATAGATAGATAGATAGATAGATAGACGGACGGACGGACGGATGGACGGACGGACATTGATTAGGTAGATAGATAGATAGATAGATAGATAGATAGATAGATAAGATAGATAGATAGATAGATAGATAGATAGATAGATAGATAGATAGATAGATGGACGGACATTGATTAGGTATGGAGATAGATAGATAGATAGATAGATAGATAGATAGATAGATAGATATTAGGTATGGAGAGAAAGAGAGAGAGAGAAAGAGATCGATTAGGTTTGGAGAGAGAGTAGGTATGGAGATAGATAGATAGATAGATAGATAGATAGATAGATAGATAGATAGATAGATGTGTAGGTGGGTGGGTGGATGGATGGATGGATGGATGGATAAATGAAGACAGATAGATAATAGAAAATGGTACATAAAAGATAGGGAGAGGGACAGGGAGGGAGGGAGGGAGGAAAAGAGAGAGAGAGAGAGAGAAAGGGAGAGGGGAGAGAGAGAGGGAGGGAGAATGTCTTTATTGGATTTCAACATCAAACAGTAAAATGCAAACTCAGATAAAAGAGAAAGGAGAAGGGAATGACAAAACAAGTTTAAAAGTGACCCCAAAAATATACAACAAACAAATACAACTAAAAGGGACCTCGACTTTCTTTTAGTACAGAGAATTTCACAATACAATACACCCACCTCTTTCTAAGTTTAAACAAATAACACCCATCTATTTTAATATACTAACAGTCAACATACTAAGAAAAAACCTAAAGAGGTGGGCGAGTGCTGGTCTCTTCTGGCTGCACAATGACTCAAGGCTAGCTCCTCGCTTGATTCCTCCTCCTTGCCTGGCTGGGAATTCCCAACAAACACAACAAAGATTATCATTTTTAAATGGGGATTTTAATGCCCCCAAAATATACACAGATCCTCCTTCTGTACAGGCACAAAACTCGCCCAGGCGGTTCAGCTAAAGAATCGTTCTTGCATTTTGTTGCAGTAAACCTGACTTGCTCATTCTTTCAACCACTTCCCAATTCTGTTTTCTTTTGCCCAAGTCAACTATTGTGCAATAAGGAGGAAGTGGCTCCTTTGCCCAACAATTTGCTAGAAATTTACTTATAGTCTGCACCTCCATAACTGTCTGGTTTGGCTCTGCAACCCAACAAGAGACACAGAGACTTCAGAGGATCATTAGAACGGCAGAAAAAAACCATGGCTACCAACCTGCCTTCCATTGAGGACCTGTATCCTGCACGAGTCAAAAAGAGGGCTGTGAAAATATCTACAGACCCCTCGCATCCTGGACATAAACTGTTTCAACTCCTACCCTCAAAACGAGGCTATAGAGCACTGCACACCAGAACAACTAGACACAAGGACAGTTTTTTCCCGAATGCCATCACTCTGCTTAACAACAACACCGTCAAATAATTTACTAAGACTGTATTACTATTATTCTTCTCTTCCTTACTAGTATCCATCTCTTCCCACTTATTACTATAACTGTGTTGCTTGTATCTTTCAATTTATATAGTTTTTATTTGTTTCCTAGTACGATTTCATAGCTTATTAGTAACCTTGACGATCACTAAGTGTTGTATCTTTTTATTCTTGATGAATGTATTTTATTCTTCTTATGTACACTGAGAGCATATACACCAAAGACTAATTCCTTGTGTGTCCAATCACACTTGGCCAATAAAAGAATTCTATTCTATTCTATTCTATTCTATTCTATTCTATTCTATTCTATTCTATTCTTGAAAATAATTTTTATTGAGTATTTTACATTTTAAAACTAAACACACAATAGCAAAAAACAAACACACACACATCAGACGTTAAAATACAATACTAACAACAGATATATACAATTTTACAACTTTCTGCATCGACTTTTGTCTTTACTCTTAGCTTTTATCCTCCCGCTTCTTCTCTTTATTTTTAAATATTCACAATTAACTGTTTTGTTAGCAGGGTCATTATTTACATTCATATCCAGTATGTTAATATCAAATTTCACTTTATATTCAGAAATCAAATTAAGAAATAAGAATATTCTACTCTACTCTACTCTAATTCTATTCTTATTCTATTTTATTAATTCTTATTCTATTCTATTAATTCTATTCTACTCTACTCTACTCTACTCTAATTCTATTCTTATTCTATTTCATTAATTCTATTCTATTAATTCTATTCTATTCTATTCTATTAATTCTATTCTATTCTATTAATTCTATTCTATTCTATTCTATTAATTCTGTTCTGTTCTATTCTATTCTATTCTATTTATTCTACTCTACTCTACTCTACTCTACTCTACTCTACTCTACTCTACTCTACTCTACTCTACTCTACTCTACTCTGTTGCTTAAACATGTCACAGGGAAGAAGGGGTGGACATATTCTCCCAAGCACCTGAAGGCAGGACAAGAAACAATGGATGGGAACTAATCAAAGAGAAGACCAACCTGGAAATAAGGAGAAATTTCCTGGCTGGGAGATCAATTCATCAATAGAACAGCTTGCCCTCTGGAAGTTATGGGTGCAAGAGGAGACCGGACACAATTTGTCTGGAATGTTATAGGAGCTCCTGCTTCAGCAGGGGGCTGGACTAGAAGACCTCCAAGGCCCCTTCCAACTCTGTTGTTCTATGCTCTACGTTCTATCGTACGCCAAAGCAACGTTCCCCATCTTTTTTTCTAATTGTTTTTAATCGCCAAATTTGCACCAACTTGAATATTTTATTGCAGCGTTTATTTCTTACTTTAAAAGGAAAATCAGCAGGGGAATAGCGTGTCAATGACTCGGAGCCCAGCACACGTTACAGTTAAAACTCCAAGGTTTGATTTTACTCGTTTTTTTTTTAAAAGCATTTGCACTGAACCAGGTCACGATCAGATTCTAACCAGCAACTCGACCTTGAGATTATAAATTGTCACCCATGGCTGCAATGTTCAGCTACCACCACCAGAGGGATGTCAAAGACTATAATACAGACAATTATCCTATAGCCTAGGTTGCAAATCATTGCTTCTCTTTCCAACATTTAAGGAATAAAAGAGGATTCCATCCAGGGATGGCTTCAAAAATTTTAGCAAGGGGTTCTCTGCCCGGTTGCTGGGCGGGCATGGCCATGGTGGGCATGGCCTAGTCAGCCTTCTGCATCATGGGGAGGGGGGGCGTTTTTGCCCTCCCCAGGCTCCGAAGGCTTTCCCCAAGCCTCCAGATGGGCGAAAACGGCCTCCCCAGGCTCCGGAGGACCTCTGGAGGCTGGAAAAGGGCCCATTTCCGGCCTTCCCAATCTTCCGGTAGGTCTGTTTTTCGCCTCCACCTGCACTCTGCAGTTACCTGCATCCAAAACAGACCGCATGGGGACTCCCGGGAGGGGTGGGGTGGGGTGGGCGGGGCCAGCCAGGAGTGGGATTTGGGGGTTCTCCGAACTGCCCAGAATCTTAGCTAGAGGTTCCCCCGAACCCCTGCAAACCCCCAGCAGCCCAGCCCTGATTCCATCAGGTCTCGGTGATAAGTGTTTCTCATGCAGGCTGCTACTAGGGTCAAAATTTTCAATTTGGATAACTTTCCCTGTAAATGACTTTTTCTGTTTTAATCGCAATAATACGTGCATGAACCATCACTTTAAACTCAATGTAAATCGTTCTAGACTTGACTGTAAAAAATACGATTTCTGTGACAGAGTTGTCCAAGTCTGGAATGCTGAACTGAATCTAAGGATTCAGTTGTCTCAGCTACAAATTTTTCACAGTCACAATTGACTGTGCACCTTTTTGCTATTGTTAGTTGAGAAGTCATGTCCGACCCATCGCAACCCCATGAACAACGTTCCTCCAGGCCTTTCTGTCCTCTACCATCCTCTGGAGTCCATTGAAGCTCAGGCCGACTGCTTCAGTGACTCCATCCAGCCATCTCGTTCTCTGCCGTCCCCTTCTTCTTCTTTTGCCCTCCATCGTTCCCAGCATTAGGCTCTTCTCCAGGGAGTCCTTCCTTCTCATTAGGTGGCCAAAGGATTTGAGTTTCCTCTTCAGGATCTGGCCTTCT